ACTCACTTGTCCACGTGCTTCACAAGAGGAGGCGACAGTCCGTCATCGATAACAACCTTGTCTCTGATCATACCATAGATCAGCTGACGTATCTCCCCTTCTTCCCTGCCTTGAGGCTCTTCCCCTTTACAGCCGATCGTGTTTCCAACAGCGTGTCTGCAATAGTCGGCTGCAAAACGAATCCAAACGAACTCTCACGCAAATTGCTCCTCGAACTCCTTCAAAGGTAAGCTTCCTCGCTGACACACAATCTGGGCCGCTCGAGCGACCCGAATCCTCCCCTCGTCTAACTCGATGTTAGTTCGCGACTTCGCCGTATTCGCCGTCGCGATGGATGCTAGCAGACGGGCTACGACGCTGAGCGGCGGCGTCGGTCTAGCCTGAGATACACAACGGGTGCACAGTACTCACAACATGGTGACCAACCTCAGAGTCGCAGACCGAATCCAATGCTTGCCAACACTCCTCAACATCAACGTGAATGCGGCCCCCATCCTCTTCAGAGGCGGCATCGCAACAGTCTGGGAGCACTGAGAGTATCTGACGATAAGCGGTGATGCGGACGGTGACACGAAGACTGACCAAATCCAAAGTTTCAACGATGAAGTTTTCGTCCATGACGATTATCCTGCCGGCATTGTCAGTTACAATCTTAGACTCTGGGTCATCCAAAAACGCATCAACCTATCATACTAGCAATATCGTCAACGCTACATGACCTCATCAGAATCTCCAGTCAGTCCGGCTCAGACACACAAAATTAACGGTTCTATGGTGTAACGGTTAGCACTCCAGACTCTGAATCTGGCGATCTGGGTTCAAATCCCGGTAGAACCTTTTTCCACAAATACCTCTTCGTCACTCGCTTGCAGCGCATGCTTCAACCTCTTCCTATCATCCATCCCTTCCACGTCACCCTTCTGTTCCTCCAGCACCGACGCTACCTACCAACCAGGGGCCCATTTAACTTTGAGAGATAACGTTCCCCAGAGTGTGATAACAATGGGGAAATGTTCTCAATGTGATGATGACATTTACATGGGAAACTAATTGAAGAAATGTGTTCCTAGTCGTGCGGGAAATTCAAAATGAGTTCCCCGGGAGCATTACTGACATCTGGATGATTCCCTGCTACCAATCGCCCAAACCCTCTACACTGTAG